GAGATGGCTCTTCATAGACTCACAGAACACTAGAACGGGAAGGGACCTCGAGAGGGCATCAAAGCCAGTCCCCTGCCCTCACGGCAGGACCAGGCACCACAGCCCTTAGCCCAGGTGCAGAGGTCTATGCCGGCAGACTGGATTGCAACACGTTGATGTATAGAATAAATTCTTTTAGAACAAGGTCACGAGGGACACTTTGATCCCCTAGTCTGACACCCTGCTTAGCACAGAACCAAGAATTTCACCTGGCTATTCCCAAGTCAGATAGGCACTGTTCATTTTTGAGATTACATGTGTAATATAATAGCTGTGTTAAAAAACTCACATAACTGGAAGAGGGTCCCTCAATGAGTACCACTGTCATACCAGAGAAACATGTACATGCTACATGTTTATTTAAAAATGCCTTTCTCTAGTCTGACGATTTGCCTTTCTCTTTGCCTCTCTACACAGAATGCTGTCTACGTGTAATAAATCGCTAATAATTCTCCTTACTCACGACTTTCACCTTGTTCCACTCAGCATCCCCAGAGCGCATTGATAGGAAGCTCTGCCTGCATTAAGACGCGGAGCTGTATTGTCTGGCGGGAGGAGATGCTTTGACATAATCTGCTGATTTGTTAAAACGAGATGCCTTATGCATGACTCAATTGCTAGAGCATTTAGCAGAGGTGTCAGCCGCCTCTGTCTATATTTAAGAGCAGGGGTCTCCTCCTACCACTTTAAGCACGAGATCAGTTTTTGAGTGTAAGTGCAATCCAGGATCGACTTCAAACCCAAATACCCTTGTCCTGCCTCCTTCGTGCCCCTTCTCCAAGGCCCTGCCCCTGCTCACTCCATCCTCCCTCCCTTCCCCAGCCCCTCCCTTTCACCAGGCAGGGACAGAGGGTTGGGGCACATGCTCTGGTCTTGGGCCAAGGGATGTGGAGTGTGAGAGGGCTCTGAGCTGAGCCTGGAGCAGGAGGTTGGAGTGTCAGAGGGGGCTCAGGCTACAGGCTCCGGAAGGGAGTTTGGGTCCCGGGGCTCAAGGCTGGGTCAGGGACTAGGGTGCAGGAGGGGGTCATGACTGGGGCAGGGGTCTGGAGCTGGGTCCAGCTGGGCACTGTATACCTCAGGGGGCTCCTGGGTGGTGGGCAGACTCACCCCTTTCCTGGCCCTGCTCTGCTCTCAAAAGCAGACAGAAAACTCCCTTCCAAGCCCTGTGCCCCTCCTCTGTTCTATGGAGATAGAATACAGGGTGGGAGGGGGCACCCTAACATCAGCGCCCTCCTTTCCCTCCCCTGCCCCAGGAGGCTCCCAGGGGCGGGGGGAGGGGAGGGAGGGTCCAAGGCAAAGCACAGGAGATGTACAATAGTCAGGGGAGGGGCAGCTGAAGTGCTGGCACCTGAGAGCCTCTTGCCCAAACCAGTCAGGGTCACCTGTCACAGGCTCCAAGACCCACCTGGCCACTGGCGCAGAGTGAGACTGTCTGTCTGTCTGCGAGTCCGTCCGAGTGTCTTTGAGCCTGTTCAGACAAGAACCCCCCTAAGACGTAAGAGCTGGGAGCACCATGTTTGGGATGCAGCTTCCTCTTGCCCTAAAGTAACCCCAGGGCAGGTTTGGTTGTGGCTGGACAACAGGAAATGCCTGGAATCGGATGGGATCCAGAGCATGGCACAGGACACTGCAGAGCAACCCTGGGGGCAGTGACACTGCAGAGCAACCCTGGGGGCAGTGACACTGCAGAGTGACCCCTGGGGGCAGTGACACTGCAGAGTGTCCCCTGGGGGCAGTGACACTGCAGAGTGTCCCCTGGGGGCAGTGACACTGCAGAGTGTCCCCTGGGGGCAGTGACACTGCAGAGTGTCCCCTGGGGGCAGTGACACTGCAGAGTCTGGCGCAGAGTGAGACTGTCTGTCTGTCTGCGAGTCCGTCCGAGTGTCTTTGAGCCTGTTCAGACAAGAACCCCCCTAAGACGTAAGAGCTGGGAGCACCATGTTTGGGATGCAGCTTCCTCTTGCCCTAAAGTAACCCCAGGGCAGGTTTGGTTGTGGCTGGACAACAGGAAATGCCTGGAATCGGATGGGATCCAGAGCATGGCACAGGACACTGCAGAGCAACCCTGGGGGCAGTGACACTGCAGAGCAACCCTGGGGGCAGTGACACTGCAGAGTGACCCCTGGGGGCAGTGACACTGCAGAGTGTCCCTGGGCAGTGACACTGCGGAGTGACCCCTGGGGGCAGTTGTCATGATTATGAGGGTTAGCCAGCAGCCTGGGGATTAAGGGGTTAACTACACCTAGCCAGGTGGAGTGACCAATAGAAATGTAGGTGGGACTTTCAAACTGGAACAAAGGAAGTTGGGTTTTTTTCCTTTCCCCTTTTTGTCTCTCTGGGTGAGTTCTCTGCAGCTACAGAGAGGGACAAGCATGTCTCTCTCTCTCTCTCTCCAAGACACCATTCTTCATTTTCTGTAAGTAGGGTAAAGTTTAGGTAGTTTCGTTAGGTTTTATTGTTTTAAGGGTTGGGTATGGGATCTGAGATCTGGCACTGCTTAAAAGATGTTTTGGCTTTTC